TGATGGGTAGAGGTACTGTTTACTGATAGTATTGATGGGTAGAGGAACTGTTTACTGATAGTATTGATGGGTAGTGGTACTGTTTACTGATAGTATTGATGGGTTGAGGTACTGTTTACTGATAGTATTGATGGGTAGAGGTACTGTTTACTGATAGTACTGATGGCTAGAGGTACTGTTTTTTCCTCAAGGAAAAGTTTTTGGTTTCATACCAAACGAAGAAGACAAGGCTTTTTTGTGTTATTGGATGCTGTGTACAGCATTCATAGCGGTCCTCGCCAAGGCTAGGCAAGTCGAGGGGGATCTGAATCATTTGTGATGCAATGTTTATTTTAACATTCCATTTTGGCCTGATATATATGCTTAAAGTGCTACAGAAAATACTAAGGATATATCATCAAAAGATTATTTTGTTCCTGAAAAAGTAGATTATGGTTTAGCTGATGAGTGACGCCCCTGAGCCATAGTGACATTTGGACATGTTTAGTCCACCAAAGGTCTGTGGTCTGTCTCTTAACAATTATTGTTATCGCTATTTCTCAGAAATTACTGGAGGGATCTTGTTTATTGATAATCATTTTGATCTTTGACCTTTGGTGGCCTTTATGTTTGCCTTCAGTATAAATTTGAGTTTTGTAAAATGTGGAAATGGAAAATGTGTTTGCCCGTATACATTGTAGATATATACACTCTTGGGAAACTGTTAAAGTTGTCCGAGGAGCTGAAACTCCAGTGTTGAGCCCCATTCACGGTAGATAATATCTCTGTGGCTTTGATTGTAACTTATAATCATTGGCACCTATTACATTTTGTAAAAGTGATTTTGTAAAAAATAGAATTTCACATGATCTATGCTGCCATTGTTAACTCTTGTTATGAAAAGATGCATTTAAAAAAAAATGAATATAGCTGGAGAGTCTTATTATTTTACTACAAAGTTATAATCACACGTATTACTATCAAGCGTATTGATCTCCAAACACATGCATTAGACAACAGTAATGTTATAACATTCAAACATTCATAAGGAATAAATTGTTAAATGGATGTACTTGTAAGTGAGAAATCAAATTGAATATGTATCAAACTTCATACAAATACTGTTATTTTCAGGATAATAAAAAGGCCAACAAAACGACTTTGATCAAAGAGGAGCTGACATCGGAGTACAATTCATATGAAATCCCTCAGCTCAGTGCAGACCAGTTCAAACACAGCAAGAACAAGTAGGTTGTTCTAAGTAGATCTTGTACAAGTCCAGATTTACAATTAAGTTTCTTTTTATTTTTAAGTTTTTCAGAAATGAGGGAATATTAATTTGAGTCTCCCTTTCTGTTTTCTGTGTAATAACTCCTTGAAAAAATTGTTTGATGTTGTTCAGTTGAAGTTTTATATCCAATCTGATGTGTACATAATATATAAGGCTATACATATCTGATTGGCTAATTGGTTTCAGTGCAATAAAAACCCTAACAATGCTGTGATTTCCCTTTGGTGTGCTCATACATATTGCTTACTGTCAGGTTGATTGCTAGTTTGATGTATATTAATGCAGTATTAATATGGTTTCTATACAATACCTCCTGCAAAAATATTTTTATTTCAACCAGATTTGATATAGTTTGTCAGTGCCTACAATTCATGCATGTTTAGTATTTATACCTGTCCACCCTCAGTAGAAAGCTGGTCCTGACATGTCTGCTGATTATGATTCTGAATTCTATTAAATAGTATGTCTACACTAAAGACTTGTCTGCCTGCTAGCATTCTTCATCCTTCTGAACAGTTTGTTCACACTAAAGACATGTCTGCCTACTAGCATTCTTCATCCTTCTGAACAGTTCGTTTACACCAAAGACATGTCTGCCTATAAGGATTCTTCATCCTTCTGAACAGTTTGTCTACACCAAAGACATATCTGCCTACTAGCATTCTTCATCCTTCTGAACAGTTTGTCTACACCAAAGACATGTCTGCCTGCTAGTATTCTTCATCCTTCTGAACAGTATGTCTACACCAAAGACATGTGTGCCTACTAGCATTCTTCATCCCTCTGAACAGTTTGTTTACACCAAAGACATGTGTGCCTACTAGCATTCTTCATCCTTCTGAACAGTTTGTTTACACCAAAGACATGTCTGCTAATAAGGATACTTCATCCTTCTGAACAGTTTGTCTACACCAAAGACATGTCTGCCTACTAG